TTTTTCACTAAAAATTAGAACTTTTATATTTTATTCAAAATTTTAGATTTTTCAAAAAAAGAATCATATTAATTACATAATAATTACTCTTTATCACGTCCCTTAGACTATACAAACCCATGATTCAAGTGTATAATTTGATTGTATAATTCAATTTGTGTCATTTTATTCTTTTTTTTTTTGTACATTTAATTATAAATTATATAAAAGGAGATAACTCTCCTTATTCTCAAATTCCTTCTCACCCAATTCGGGATTTTAATTTAAAATCTTCAATTTAAAATTTCAAATTTTTAATTGTCAAATCACCTCATTTTATTTGGTCTTAGCATATACATTTGATTGCTGAAAATAATTAGAAGGCCCACACAAAAAAATACCCTTATGTTCTATGGACTTGCCTTGACTTCAATAAACGAGGTTTCAATTACCGAGCTGCATCCAAGATATCGTAGCCAGTGTTTCAGTCCATTTTACTTGTTATATTTTTGCTTGATAGTATGATATAGGAAATTACAAAGACTTATAGAAAGCAAAAATAGAAAATCAGGATGTGTTAATATTAAAAATATCAAGGTTGTCAATAGTAGTTACATAGTAAACTTGATACAGATAGAATCCTTGTTGTGGCCCTATATTTAATAGTTGTGATTGGATGTACCAATATTTTTAAAAATTGGATGTTTTGGTTTTCCTTTTTCTAGTTTGGATTTTTCTATTTTGTACCTTTAGAGCATTTGATAAAGATGCAATAAATACACTTTTTTTATGATTAATTTTTATTAAAAATATAAATGTTGACTTTGATTTAATCATTCAACCAATTAAAATCATTTATGTATCAGTGATGTTAAAATATATGTCAATTTTTGTAAATTTTAATGTAAATTAATTATAAAAATGTATATAATTACAAAAAAATATATTTATTGCATCATTAACCTGTGCCAAACCTTTTGAGTTTTTCTAACTTGTGCTCTTAGAATATAGTTGAAGGTATAATTATAGCACCTAGATTCACTATTGAAAAAATAAAAGTTAATTTTCATGTAACTAACTATCTAACTAAAATGATATACGTGACATTAGTGATAAAATTAATAATAGCTTTTGTATTTTTTAATAATAATTAATATAAAAAATGCAATAACGATGTCCTTAACATGTGCCTTTAACACACAAGTTAAAAAAAAATTTATTTTTTTTCATAAAAATACACTTATTAATAATTAAAAATTTTGTATTTACTCTTACTGATAAGGGTAGTTGGGAAGTTAAAATGTATTATTTTTAAAAATGAAGTCATTATTAATAGAATTTGACTTTATTACTATGTTTAATGCACATGTGCATTTATTAACCCTTTGTAGGCATGGAAAAGTTGGAAGGAAGGGACATGAAATATGGAGATGCATCCATATTGGGCTGCTTTGTGAATGTGGTCAAGAAAATGTTGCTAACAGACCAACTATGGCTTCAACTATTCTCCTACTTAATAGCAATTTAACTCCTCTTCGAGTGCCTTCTCAACCTGCAAGCATTTTTTTAAGCACAGCACTAATGAATCAGACATATGTCAACCTCATGTGGCTACAATTCATGGGTATCAGAGTCAGACTCCAAGAAATCAAAGGACAAATCGGTCCCCTTAGCAAAAAAATTATGTTTCAATTACAGAGCTATATTATCAATAATTTCTGAAAAAGAAAATTGGTAGATTTTCTAATTCAACACAACTATCAACACCTATTGATTCAATTATTAAAATTCATAATTAAAAGTTTTTTATTTTAAATTTAAATTTAAAAATAATAATTTTTAAAAGAGCATGTTGAATTATAGTATGTATCAATTATTGTCCTTTTAAGGAATGCACAATTAAATTGAAATTGTCCATCCAGTTTTGAATAATATTGTTAGAATTCGCTTATTAGATGTATTGGTATCTGATATTAGTTCTTTCTTCTATAATTTGATCCTAGCTTCTTCTTTTTTTAAGCAAAACTACTTCCAATTGTTAATTCAAGTGTATAATTTGATTCATGTCATTTTATTCGGTATTAATTTACTCCATCTCATTCAATGGACTTGCCTTGGCTTCAATGACCAAGGTTTCAATTACCAAGCTACATACAAAATAGAATATATCTCCAATTTATTTTACTTTTCATACTTTTCCTCGAACACAGTTACAGAAAAGATTACAAAGTTCTATAAAAAGACAAGTATTATTAATTAAAATTTCATATTTATAATTATTCTTATTGTTGAGTGCAGTTAGTAACTATTAATAATAGTAAAATTAAAAAAAGAAAACTTTAGTGCTATGTTAAAAATTGAAATTGACAAATTAAATTTTCTTTTTTTAAAAAAAAAATGTGACAAGTATAATAGACAAGTAGAAGTTTAAGATTTGTATAACCATTATGAATTATGATTAAATATTAACAAGTTGTCATTCATTTTCTTGGAACAAGATGTAATTTCTGTGTGTCATTAGGGGTAGGAAAAAAGGTATTCAGTCATTGTCTAGTGTCAACAAAGATGAATTTTCAACAAGGGAACCAAAGACTCAAAAGTTTCCGTCTAGGCTTTTCTCAGCTGGAATTTTCCAACGAGGGAACCAAAGACTCAAAAGTCTTTGTCTTGGCTTTTCTTAGATGGAATTTTTCAACAAGGGAACCAAAGACTCAAAAGTCTTCGTCTTCCCTTCTCTAAGATGGAAATTTCTAACAGGTTAGCGAGCATCAAATAGAGTATCAAAACCTAATTAAAGTGGTATCTTTTATAGGTTGAGTGGTTGTTTTAATAATGAGTTTTTTACTTCTTTTATTTTTTTAAAGAATAGACATACCTATGAAGTATGTCTTCAAGGCTTTTTGGCTCTTCTCTATTCAGAAAATGTTAGAAATCATAGTCCTCAAAGCCATTCATCAAGGCATGCATTGCTACTCCATCTAAATTGTCACTTGCAAAGATTTGTTATGGAAGCTAGCAATTTATGCTATCAAACTCTTGTTAGTTTCTTGTTTTATGCTCATTAAATGGTAGTTAGTCTTTTTTGGGGCTTTACTAGTAATAAAATGTTCAATAAAACATTTTTCTAATTACTCAAAAAAGTTAATGGACTTAGCTTTGAGTTTGAGATACCAAGTCTAAGTTGCTTTCTCTAAGGTAGCAAGAAACACTTTGCACAATAAGGCATTGGACGCTTAATAAACCATCATTGCTAGTTTGTAGCTTTGTATAGGTTCCACAGGATCTTGCGTTCCATCACACTACACTAATTGAGGTAAAGGCTTATTTATTATTTTGTCTAAGAATGATTTGCCTATTGGAGCTATTTGTGGAGCATCCAGCGCCATTTGTTGTGTTGTTTGCAACTCAACCATCTGTTGGCACAATGTTTCCATGTCCTTCTGTAGGGTCTCATTTCACTCCTTGAAGAAGTCCTGTGCATGACTTAATTGTGCCTTGCGATTAGCTAACAATTTTCTATCTTTTGAACTAGCTTGTGTAGAATCTTCATCCTAAAATGGTGATGGACTAAGACTTTACTTGATGATATGGGAGCATTTGCACTCACAGAGCCTCATGTCTAGGTGTGTGTAACATGTGCTAACCTACGAGAACAAAAGTTCCAACGCAAGGCTAAAAAAATTGAGGTTGGCTCTTGAGTGTGATATTGTCTACACGTGTTGACCACTGTGACGAGATATAGTCAGAGTCATTTTCTTGTAATCTTGTATTTAAACACTCTTTATGAGCGAAGCACAACATGGGACCTTGTAGTTGAGGGGAGTGCCATTGATTTTTGAATACTTGAGATGGAGAATACCTCTTTGGAGATACATGAGCTCGATGCCTCTAGTCTAGTTCTTGCTTTAAGGGTGTTACACGTAGTTGGTCACAGTTCTCAATTAAAAATGTCACTACTTGCTCAATTGCATGAGCACTTTTTTCAATTTGTGTCATATTCTGGATGTGTTGTTGAATTTGATCCTTTACTATATTTCTATGTCTAGTCATCCTAGGCCTCAAGGGACTTGATCTTGAGGTTTGTCAAGTAGAAGTTAGTGAAGCTGAAGATGTGGGTGCAGGAAAACTTGCATCACATCGATTTCGCTCAGTGTATGCCATTACTTAAATATAATGATTCATTGGAAGCAATAATCGACCCCATGGTGTGTGTCAAATGTTATTACTAAAAAATAACTCAAAGAGGAAATCAAACAGAGTAATTAGGTTTTTAATAATGGTAGGAGTATTAGGATTCAAAGGAGAGTTTTTTTCCCATCTCCCTAGCTAGCTATTTCTTCAGAGTGTTTTAAAACCCT